TTGTCATCATCAAAAAGGGGGAATTTGTTGACCTAGTAAGTTCATTTTGATGATTGACAAAGAAACACATGCATGAATCAGGTCCATACACAGGGCACGGATAGATTCAATCACAAGGCATGCACATGAAGGGGATAAGCACAAGTGGGTATATCTGATGTCCCCTGAACGAAAAAGTTACATAATTAATAAGGAGCAGGACTCGTTACTTGAAGAGAACTCTATCCTAGATAAGGGAGGAGTTAATAGTTGAAGATAACTAAAAATCTTACAAGAAGTTCCTGGGTATTTCAAGTGTGCGAACCTGAAGCTACATGAACCAGATAAAAGAATCAGTTCCAAGTGTCTGTCTTTTATTCTAGTTTCATTGTAGTAGGGCTTTTGAGTTGTACCTTCCAGCTTTCTATAGAAGTAATTGTATTAGGTACTCTGAGTGTATTGTTCAAGTTAGAGTTAACTTGAAATTATCGCAACAGCCTGAGGCTGGTTGCCACAAAGGGTTAGAGGTAATCCTTAGGTTTACAAGAGTTATGTAAACGTTATTTTTGGCTCAGTAATTTAGTGAAGTGTTGAGAAAAATCCTTCTGGGTAGTAGGTCGTGATTTTTTCATCTTTTGAGTCAAGTATTTTTCACGTAAAAATACTTGTGTTCTTTACTTTCTGCATTTATTATTCTATAATTGTAGTGTAATAAACACATAGAAGAACTCGATCCTTCTATAATTTATGCACGCAAAAAATTGGACACTACACAAATCACCCCTCTTGTGTGGTATTGAATTACAAATCATTACTTTTTGGCTGAGATGAAGCTCCAGCTTGAGAAAATCCTTTTGTCCACACTTCTATTGGCAATGGATCTAAAAAAAATTACAGAAAAGTTAGCATGTAATTGAATCTAAGACCTATGCACGTTTATTTTGGTTTGGGTGACATATATATACACTTAACAGTTATATCCGTCCTAACTGCTAATCTTATAAGTAGCAAATTTGTAATAATGAACTTCAACTTAGGAAATCTGACACTTTGATTATGAAATTGGTTGTAATCCATTATTTTAACAATATTGCACCCAGGGAGGTAGTTAAATAATTGTTGTGAATTGATAAATATACGCTTTAAATATTACTCCATCTGTTCTATTTTATGTGATATTATTTTCTTATTAGTCCGCTCCATAAAAATAATACTTTTCTGTATTTGAAACAATTGTTAGAGCAATTTTATTTCGTATGGAAACTGGTGTACCCATTCTTCCAGATGGCCAGTGGTGGATCTAGAGGTTAAGATTAGGTTCTCGGGAATATAATAATAGCTTTTACTCAAAAATAGAGGTTAAGATTATTTCGTATGGAAACTGGTGTACCCATTCTCTGATATCACTGTAGAAACCCAAAAAAAATATCGCTATAGAAACCATAAACTTCAAATCCAGAATTTACCTCTGCAAATGCATCTATGATTTTCATCCCTGTGATGACCCGATAGGTCAATTTTAATTTTAACCTTTATTTTTGTGTTGAATAGCTTCGTTTAGACTTCCTCGATTTGCATTCACAGTCCGTGTCTTTTTCCGAAAAGTTTTTATGAGAAAAATTGATGAAAATGTGAAATCGTCCCTTAAAATGTGTAAATGGACCCAGATCAGTATTTTGACGGTCCCGATGGGTCTGTATCGTAATTTGGGACTTGGGCTATGCCCGAAATCGAATTCGGAAGTCCCTAACTTGATTTAACGTAAATTGTTAAAAACTAGTAATTTAAAGGTTTTAAGAATTCCTAAGTTTGACCGTTGGTTGATTTTGTTACTATCGGGTTCGAATTTCAATTCCAAAACTTGGTATAGATTCATCTCAGTATTTATGACTTGTCTGCAAAGTTTGATGCAAAACGGAGTTGATTTGATGTGATTCGGACATCCGGATAAAAAATTATAAGTTCTTAAGTTTCTTTGAAATTTTCATTTGCTTTGGTATCCGATTCGTAGTTCTAAGTATTATTTTTATGTTTTCATCACGCGAGCGAGTTCGTATGATATTATTTCACATGTGTGCATGTTTGGTTTGGAGCTAGAGGGGATCGGGTGAGTTTCGGACAGGCTACGGACCATTTGAACTTAGAAACATTGTTGGTTTTTGGAGTCTGTTGGTGTCTGGTGCACTCTTCTTCGTGATCGCAAAGAGTAACCTGGGTTGGGGATGGATTTACCCTATGCGAACGCGGGGAACAGGTCGCGAACGCGAAGCTTTGGGAGGGGGGGCTTACCCTTCGCAAACGCGACGATTTGTGGGATTCTGGGGAAGCTGAGCTAGTGTTCTACGCGAATGCGATCATTGGGTCACGAACGCGATGGCCAGGGGGAAGAGCCACCACGAAGGCGAAGGCCATTTGGGCCGCAGTGCTTTGCGATCGTGTCAAGTCCTTTGCGAATGCGATGAAGACCTGACGCCAGTGATTTAAAATGTCCCAAAGACGGAATTTCACCCATTTTTCACCATCTTTTCATTAAAGCTCGGCCTAGAGGTGATTTTGAAGAGAAAATTCATCACCAATTCATAAGTTGGTATACTTTAACTCGTTTTCTTCCGTTGTCATCAATACCCATTGATTTCTAACCTTAATCTATGCTCTTTTATTGTAGAAAATTAGGGAAGGAAGAATTAGGGATTTTTATAAAATTGAGATTTAGACCTCAAATTGAGGTCAGATTTCGAAACTAATCACATAATCGGGCTCGGGGGGTGAATGAGTAATTAAATTTTGGTCCAAATCTCGGGTTTTGACCAAGTGGGCTCGGGGTTAACTTTTGTTGACTTTTTAGAAAATGTGTAAAGATCTTAACTTTATGTGTTGTAATTGATTTTCCTAACATTGTTTGATGTTATTGAGTCATTTTTTGTTAGATTCGATTGGTTTGGAGGTGGATTTTAGAGGAAAGGTCCCCGTTGAGCTTTGTTTTGCTTGTAGAGCGAGGTAAGTATTGGGTCTAACCTTGATTTGAGAGAATTAGGAACCCTTGAGCTATGTGCTATGTGAATTACATGTATAGCGGCATATATGCGAGGTGACGAGTGTATATATGCCGTCAAAATACTTGTTTCCATGCTTTACCGTATGTCATTAATTATTTTATTCCATGTCTTAACTGTTACATGCTTTAATTGCTTCCTATGCCTTAACCTCCTAATTGTCACTTATTTCTCTCATATTAAAATGTTCGCTTCTCACATGCTTCCATGATTAATTGCTACTTGCTTTAATTGTCTTACTTGTATACTTTAATTTACATATATTTGACTTGTCTTGTTGCTTTGTATTAATTGTAGCATTCCTTGATTTGGTACGAGGTCCCTTTATGGCTTGTTTTTATATTCTTTAATCGTAGAGATTCTTGTGGTTTGAGTTGTTGAATTGCGTACATTTACTGATTTTATTTATGGATCGGGTTGCACGTTGCAACGGGTGAAATAAGGGAGGATTGGTATTGATATGGTGAGATCGGGTTGCACGCCGCAACGAATTTTAATGTGATTTTAATATGGTGAAATAAAGGAGGATCGTGATAATTATTTTGATGATATAGTGGGATCGGGTTGCACGCCGTAACGAATTTTATATGTGATTTTGATATGGTGAAATAAGGGAGGATTGTGATATTGATTCTGATGATATGGTGGGATCGGGTTGCACGCCGCAACGGATTTTACATGTTATTCTTGATATTGATATGGTTCAATAAGGGAGGATTGTGCTTGTACGGTGGGATCGTGTTGCGCGCCGCAACGGATTGTATGTTTGGAATTCTACGTGCATTGTGTTAGCTTTCAGTGTGTTCTTACGAAATTTTGAGGACTGATATTTCTGGTTTTACTGATTTTGAGAATTGAGTTTTTTTCCATAAGTTAATTGCCTTACTTTTCCTGCGTTTCTTTCCTGTTATTATTATTATACTGCGTACAGGTTATTGTAATTGACTCGCCTTAGCCTCGTCACTACTTCGTCGAGTTTAGGCTCGGCACTTAAAGAATATATGGGATCGGTTGTACTGATATTACACTCTACACTTCTTGTGTAGATTTTGGAGTCGGTCCTAGCGGCGGTCAGTAGATTGCTCGGACTGATTACCTAATGGAGACTTGAGGTACAGCTGCTCGGCGTTCGCAACCCTGAAGTCCCCTTCTACCTTATCCTAGCTGTTTATTTCATTTTAGACAGTTTTACTTTTATTCAGACCATTATCTTTATTATTCTAGTCGCTCGTGCACTTACGACACCAGTTCTGGGATTGTATCTAGATATTTCTGTTATTATGGGTTTTCTCACTCTATTTCAGTTTATTCAGTTTACTCGGTTTCAGTTAATTGAAATTGTTAAGGATGTCTAAAAACTATTCTAATATTGGTTTGCCTAACAAGTGAAATATTAGGCGTCATCACGATTCCGAAGGTGGAAATTCCGGTTCATGACAATTCCTTTGTATGCTTAAGAGTATTCTCATCTCAACAACACTATCATTATTAGTTGCTATTACAACATGTCATTATATCCTGAGCCACTAACTATATAAAATGCATGCTATACACCTGGTGAAAAAGATAACAAATTTCACGTTGGATTCTTGTAATGGGACAGTTTATTTTAGACTCATGCAATATCATTCGTTTTATTTTAAAATTCAACTTCGGTGCCATTGACACTATAAAGTTCTTTTATATCGTCATATTAAATTGACTTGTAACAAGTTATAGCTTAGAAAATATAGTAAGTACTTGTCCTGACCTGTTAAACTATATTGATAGTTTAATTTCTTGAAACGACAAGATCAATCCCAAAATTATACAAATTATAGGCATTGTTAAGAAATGGCTAATTAGAAGTTCTAACATAAGTATACTCATAAATACGATCTCCAAGCAATTAATAATCATTCATTGTTTAATTAATTACAACAATTACTACCATTCATCTTATATAAGATATGCCCACAAGTTGTTGCCTCAAACTTTGTCTACCAACAAGTCAGAAACCCAATTGATATTAGGAAATTCTTGATCTTGATTCTCCCACTCCACAGGCCTTTTCCCCTTATAATCATGCACATTATTTACCCTACCAGAAGAATTCCCAGTCTCAAAATTCTTCAGCTCCTCAGCTAACCTTGTATGGCTCATTGAAAATAGCGAAAATTCGGTCTGATTTTGAACTTTTGGTTCAATTCTTGGTTGAGACTGAGACGTAGAAGGGACAAATAACTCATAATTTGTCGTATTTTCAACATTTTGTTGAGGCCGAGAAGAAGAAGTAGAAGAAGAAGAGGAGATCAAGAATTCAGGATTATTAGTTGACCACGAATTCTCATGTCCATAAAATATAGTACTATAGTAATGTGGGGGTGGGGGTGGTGGAGGATTAGAAGGAATAATCATCCAACCGCCATTTGGTCCATTTTCTATTAAAATGTCAGGATAAGGCTGGATGTGTAAAGGGTACAAATAGACGTAGCACCAATTGTACTTAACTTCAGGACGTAACTCTTTTAACGTGTGAGCGAAAAAACAGACTTTTCGCTCACACAAAGTACCCGCATTGCATGGGTGAGTCCTGTATTTAGCAGGATGAAGCCAATACTCAAAAACCCCATGACAAAGTTCACAACCACCTCCTTTAACACACTCCCCTGCTTTAAAACTTGGACATGGAATTGGCAAGTAGTTATATCTCTCAGGGTCGCGACGGCGCGCTTTTTCCCCTCGGTGAGTGAACGGACAAGATGTCCAGTCGTGGCTACGGAATTTAGGGCATTTTTTTATTTTGTAGGCATACATACGAAAATTATCCGATTCGTATAGGGCTTGATCGATGAGTTCGTGAAAGTCTCCTGCCTCATGCCCAAATTGTCTACGAAAAGGAAATGATGAATAGTAGCTGAAATGACGATCATTTTTGTAAGCCATTGTTAGTGAATATATAATGACGATACAATTGAAGGATGAAAATACAAGAAATTAAAGAATGTGTATGTAAAATGTGATTGAAAAGAAAATCAACAGATTAAAAAAGAAAAACTCTAGAGATCAATAGCTGAAATAGAAACTTAATTTTTTTGAAATTTTTTACAATACTAGGAAGTTGTTTTGTAATGAACTGTGGAATTGGTGAAAGAGAAATGGGGTATTTATAGCTTGAAGAACAGAGTGTTATTTACATATTTATGTTTTAACTACTATGAGTTAATGACTTCATATCTATAGCATTGAAGTAACGGATGTCTATAATAGATTATTCAACAAAAGCAAAATAGATTTATGTAATCTAAATTCAGGTAATTCACTGCCTCTGAGGTTTAACTTTCTTTAAATGATCTAATGAAAAATTGTACTTCTCCGTACCTATCTAATAAAAGGATTGATTATATAATGAATGCAGAATTATCTCTAATCTATACATATTATTGCAACCAAACCTCTCTATAACATCTTTATTTGTTTCAGATTCTTTTGGTTGTTATAGCAAAGTGTTGTTATAAAGAACATATATTATAACATAGCATGAAAATTAATTTCATAAAAAACTTGACTTTTATAATGAATGGTTGTTATATGGCGATACTATTATAAGGTCTGACTATACTACTGGTTAATTATAATTTTCAAAAAGGGGAAACACATATAGTAATTAAAAGGGTTTAACTTATATTCATTTTTGTGCATTTTACATTGTGTCAATGCAGTGTTCTACCTTATTTTTCAGAAATTAATTCCACTTTTCAAGTAGAAATTTGTAGTTATTTTTTAAGCGGCTTAATAGTATAAAATTTTAGTACATAGAACTTAAAATTCTAGTCGCATAGACAATGAAATAGATGTAGTATAATCAGATATATAGAAGTGTCATGACTATAAAACATTCTTGGTTAGTGTAAGACTCTGTTCTATTTTTCACATCATTTGAATATTTGTCTTGTAATTCAAAGGACTTTGTAACCAATGGTAGAACAAACAAATTCTCATAACCCAAAACAAAAAGAAAATAACTCTGTTATTAATGTTTCTTGTAATCTACTTAACTACTATCTACATGCAATTCTACAAGTGTTTTGTATGACATCAGAAAGAAAGGGGGGGGGGGGGGGGAAAAAGAGAGAAAAAGAAAAAAATAATAAAAGGCTTCTTCTCTGGACACACAAGATTATTAAAAACCAAAATAAAAAATAAAAATTGGTGAGGTTGGAACTTTTTATCGGTTAAGTTTGGGATTATATAATAAGAAAGTCATCAGACAGCCTTAAATGGGGATAAGAAATTAGGTTATAAAATGACAATTTTAACACTGCATAAAAAATCTGTCATATATTGCATGAGAGTAGCCACGTTGTAAAGGAAGAAGCATAACTCAAAAACATCCCAACAGCCTTACATTTGATAGCAAAATTTTGTTTCATAAGAGTAACATTTGATTAACGAACAATCATAAGATTTCTTCTTCCAAAGATATCCCTCGAGAAATGTATATATTTAGCCGTTTCAAAAAATATAGCCGACAAAATAGTATATTTTTTGTATATATGTGTATTATATACATATAATATACATATTTTATATAGTTTTTGGCTATCGAATGCAATTAGCTTTGACTGACGGATCAATTTTGTATTGGGATATTATCACTTTTAGCCCGCGCTAGAAACTATATACAAATTTTATACATTTATCGACTATTATTTTTACGACGGTTATACAATGTCATTTTTTCTTTTGTTATTTTGTCCAAATCCTTTCATGAGTAAATTTGACAACTGGGACTAAAGGGCCTAGGGCATAGGTTGGTGGGTCCAATTTCTCCTAAGATCAAAATGAAATTTTTTAAAAAATAGCCAGATTTACAAGTGGTCATTCAAAAATAGCCATAGTTTCAAAAGTAATTAAAATTTAGCCATTTTTTATGTAAAGATAAATCTGAACGAAAACACTATTTAAAATCCGAAAAATACTCCAGTATAATATACTGGAGTTCTAGTATAATTATACTGGAGTTCCAGCATAATATACTGGAGTTCCAACATAATATGCTGGAAGTTCATACACAGGTGCTCCAATCTCCAGTATATTATGCTGGAACTTTTCGCGTGTTGGAGTTCTAGCATAATATGCTAGAAGTTCATACACATGTGCACCGATCTCCAGTATATTATGCTGGAACTTTTCGTGTTGCAGCAAAATAGTGACTATTTTTTAATGACTTTGCAAACGCTGACTATTTTTGAATAACCAATCCGAAAACTGGCTAGCCCGTACTATTTTTACGATCAAAATAGAACTAGCCCAATCTGAACACTGGACTTCTTAAGTGGATTCAATCATGGGATTTTTACCTAGATATACTATAATAGATATACCTAGAGAAAATTGGTAATAAAGTCTTTATTATAGTATTACTAGGAAAAAATTCCTTCAATCATATGTCCTTCCATTTCAAGTAAAAGAAAAGAATTTTTACATAATTTGTAAAGAAATATATAAAATCCATTTATTCTAAGATTACTTGCAAATGAAAAAGGAAGGTCGCACAAAAACAAATATTAAAAGAAAAAATGGGACGATGGTAACAACGAGATGAAATATAATAGAATTGAGAAGTTAAAATTTACCGTTGTGTGGCGGGGTGGTTGAAACCCCTCCACTATTAACCAAAGTTCTCGAGTTCAAGCAATGAGGATGAAAACATCTTGATAGGTAGAGTTTTACTTCTATTAGTTGGCCTACCCGATACGAATCCAAATTAATCAGGAAAATAACTTTCGGATACCAAATGCCTAAAACCAAAAAATAATAATAATAATAATAATAATAATAATAATAATAATAATTCAAATAGCCGGCAGATGTAAAATATATATATAATTTATATATAATATGTATATAATTGTGTATAATTTATGTACACCAGCTAAAAAATATAAATAATGAATTTGGCCGGCTGTTTGTGTAACCATCCCAAAAAAAAAAAGATAACTAAAACTTGAATTCCAACACAAACATCTTCTAGGCCCATTTTATAATGAAGAATTATTTCAATATTTAGTAATACTGAAAACATTTATTTGTAAATGATCTTTTAAGTTTTAACCATGCCATTTTTAGTTTCAATTGAAAATTTGTTGTGCTCAAGTAGAATATTGAAATTGTGGGCAAAGATGTATTTTAAGTGAAGTTATTCAAATTTTAAGTCACAAATCACAAATTTATTCAGGTGATAGGAGCCTAAGTTAATCATAGTAAATATTATACAATTGAATAATGAAATATGATAATTGAGGGAGACACAACTCTCAAAGATCACAAATTGCAATAAAATTCTACTTAAAATGTTGATTAAATCTTTAAAGTACCTTTTATGTTTTGGTTGCATCACTTACTCATACACTAACATATAGAGATTAGATAAAGAAACGATTCTAAAAACTTTACCTTAAAGGGTTGTGACATAGAAATTTCAAAAGTTTTGGCCAAGAAAATTAGTAAGTTCAAAAAAGTCTAAACAATCAAATAACAAGAAAAAAGTAATTAGCTCACGAGGTTTGAGTTTCTAAAGTTAGACATATATCTAAATCTTCATTTGGAGAGAGCAAAAAAAGAATGGGTAAGTTCTAACCATATAATCTAAATTACCAAATTCAAAAGAGAAACAAAATTAGTTATAACTAACTATCTGTAATTAACAAATACTTTACCAAATTAGCAAGAGAAGTTGAAGGTAAAATCTCAACTTCATTTAATGGAGTTTCAGGAGTAACCAAATATTTGCTCATAAGCGTTGCGCAAACAACGTATTCACCACGTGCAGATATAAATTCGTTCTGTCTTCTGATCGTAAATATCATCTTGAGTATACGGGTTCGCCAGGAGCGATTAGAAGCTCGTTCGAATTGTTGTTTGACCAAAAAAATATAAATTTTGGTTCAAATAATTAAATTTATTGAAATAAGGGTTAATCTTAGCTAACAATAATATTCCTAGATGAAAATCTTAAAGAAACAACAGATATTACATAGATCTGGCCAAATAATGACGATAACATGCAATGAATACTCTAGAAACCAGATATAATAAAATAGCATTTAAAGATAAAGAACAACAATAAATGTTATTCTTGTGCGGGAGATAGCATGTATCTGCAATGTTAGAGTAGCTACTCGAGCTAAGAGTTATATACATCAATTTTACCAAGGAACAGAGTAGATTCATTAGTGTTAGCTGTAAATAGGTATGCTGTGTTTTGCTTTTTAAATTTTGAGATAGTCAGCTGAGTTAGCTTGACTATGGACTTGTACGGTTCTTCGTTGGTGATTAATACAAAAGAAAGTTAATTATCAAAAAAAAAAATGTTGCTTAAGTAAATAGAGTGAATGGGTCGCCCAAGAAATGAAGGAATAAGTGAATGTTCCTCCTAAAAATGATGAATGATAGACAAATCCTTGAATATTCGAGTTATTCTCGGATCTGATGAAAAAATATAGACAAGAATCTCGGTGAAAAGATGATGTTTGTATCTTAGAAAGTGAGAGCCGAATCTTTAAGTCAAAGTGTATTCTTTACAAATGAATACCACATGTCTCATATCATTGTCTCTTTTCCTATTTATATGGGACATATTTATAACAAACTCTAATAGTACAAATGTAGAGAATATTCACTTTAATATTATATCTTGAAAATTAGCCGTTACAACTCTGTCAACAGTACTCGACCTCGAACCTTGTTGATACTCAGACTGCGATTCTCGTTGATTCTTCGACCACAGACTTCGTTGCTTCTTGGGCCATTTAGACGAAGGACAACTTGGGAACTCTTCCCTTAATGCTATATCGGCTCAAATATTCTAAAAATAAATTTTGACTCATACAACTGTCATTCTCAAATTCACATTGCATGGATGTGAATTCAGCATTCAAACT